CAAAATCTATCTAGATTTTCAAGTTTTAATCCTATCACTATTTATTTCAACAGCTTTCCTCTGTTCTTGTCAAGTCCTTCTTCTCATTGTTCTACCTATATGAACTACTGCAAAATTTACTTCCCCGTCTTTCCATGCATGTCTCTACCAGCCACCCACACCCGATCACATCAGACCAACCTCACTTCTAAAGATTTCCACAGTCTGTTTCACCCCCACCTTCATTCCTAGCACCGACAGGCAGTAATGCAAGTTCTGCCTCTGACTATGGGACCTGATGTGCCAGATCAGTTTATCTGTTTTTGAAGGAAACTCCTTTGTGTCTCCCTATATTCTTCATTTCTCCTACACCTCTCATGCTGCAAGACTGCTCCATGAACTCTAAAAGATTACTAATATATTTCCTTAGATCCCTCTTCGAAACTGTCCTGTGCTGTGATGTTTACAAAAAAATTAATACAGTTTAATCAGTTTACTCTATTACTATTTAGTCTCTTAAGAGACTACAACTTAGTCTACTACTATAATGGACGAGACAAACCAGAAGTGTTTCTCTCTTTCTTTATACCACCCTTTTGCACCCATCATGGTTTCTGTTAGACGATACTCTCTGGAGCAAAGAGCAAAAAGTGAACACATAAAGCCAACACAGAGGAGTCTACGTGTGCCTTTGTTACGTGTATTTTTCAACACTGGAGAAAGTACATTCATTTTAATTAATGTATTCCATTCAATTCCATTTTGATTTCACTCTATTATTAGATACACAGGAAGTTGAACAGATGTGTATTAGCTTAGCCAATTTATCAACTTCAGCAAATGAATCAGTCAAGGAAAAAAAAAAAGCATTAAAGTCCTTTTTGATCTGCACTACTCAAAGCTGCTGCTCAAAGTAGCTTCCACCACTGAGATTGCTGTGGGCCATGCCTAGCAATTTGGATCCAGCACAGCTTTTTCACTCGGGTAACAGCACCCTGTTCACTCTGGCTGGCACAATGTACACCCCACGTTATGTGACACAGTCAGGAGGCTATAAAACTATGAAGGCTTTGAAGCCACTGCTTTAGATTGGGATTGCATCTGCCCTTATCTGAAGTTGCTTCTTAAAGGTATTGACAGTCCAGTGCTGATGGCAAGAAAGATTTGAAGTTTCCCACTAATTTAATTACCCTCCCAAAAGTAATTTTCATAAAGATTGTACTTCATGAAGACATTTTTCATAGGTTTCTCTCAGGAGCAACAACCTGAAAATCTCAAAAGATGTTAGAAAAAAAAGTAATGTCATTGGGTTAGTCTCAGAAAAATGGAAAGTGGAAGCATAAAAGTACTGCCAGGATACCGAGTAAATTATTTATAATTCTTTTCATACTGCATTTGTCCATGGGAAAAGCTGTTAGTGAAAGTACCAGTGAAGTGAAACCCTAAAGATCAGTTTTGAGGAGGAAGTTAACTAGTATGACAGACAGACCATGCCCAGGAATCTTTCAGCAGACGCTATCATGTGACTGAATTTTGCTCATCAGTTTTGATATGTTGTCAAAGTCACTAACAAGTACTTATCTGCAGAGCAATCTTTTAATTAACTTCTTTTTTCTTTAACATAACTCCGGCTGTACTTACAGCTAACGACCTGTTAAATGAAGTTTAGCACTATCTCAGTTTTCAGAATGTATCGGTATCCAAAGCCTCCATTACTGCCCTGCCTCACTAACTGCTTATTTATTTGTAAGTAAATGACTGTCCACTGGTTAATAATAAACACATCAGAATCCTAATAAACATCTCTCATTTATAAGATGATGTCAGGTCTGCTGAATTTTTCAAATTGAACAGACAACAAAAATGAAAAATCTGTTCTGAGGCATGAGTAATTTAGGCAAAACTGGTAATTTATAAAAGCAAGAATACTTGACAAACATGACCTTTCAGCCATGAATGCTGCCTGAGTGTTGCTATACCATTTATTTTTTCTGAAGTAACATATGTTCCTCAATACATGTTAGGAACTGCACATAAAAAGCCTACTAGCAGTTTATTTACGTATCAAACCTGAGTGTTTGCTGGCACAAGACCTCATCATTGTCTCTGTACGACTGGAGTGTTTTGAGGTTAAGTAAGGTTGAATCTACTACTTCTGGCCAGTGTAATCAAAGAGTTGGACCTATATCAAACATTAGGTGCCCAGGATTTGCCATCCTAAACAATCAAAAGTTATTATGGTTCTTACAGTTGCTTTTTTAAGTTACTAACTGTTAGGCACTTTTTTTAGACTTTTCTCTGTGATATAAAGAGTTTATCTGTCCTCTCTTCTTCGTTCTCCAACTGTTAACAAAAGTACTAGACATCAGAGGAGAAGGGGATGAAAAACAACACACTTTAAAACCATTTGAAAATGCTCAGACTTGGGACAACCACATAATGCAAAACTGTCAAAAATCCTCTGCAAATATCAGTTAATATTTTCTGATACTTTAGAAAAATTTTGCTACTTTCTGTGAGCCTCTCTTTTTTCTTTTTTTTTTTTTTCTTTTTTTCAGGGAAGAAAAAATAAATCTGATTATAGGAAGGAGCTCTGCAGTGTAATGTGTATGAATACTTAGAAATCCTTTTCATATTGCAGAGACTTGGAAGGTCAGAGCACACAGCACCCTCTCCTGAAACAGCACTTGCTGCTGTTCTATAATGCATTTTCAGAACCTGCAACTGGTAAATTTATGAGGTAAATTTTTTTATTCTTTTTAAAGGGAGGGTAAAGAAGTTCAAAAATTGCCAAACATGATGAACAAACTAGCGTGAGGTAGTGTTTCAGAAAGTTTCTGACATTACAGACATATTAGAAGATGACCATTTCCAATGACTGTTTTATTGTCCCAGGCAGCAATGCAAATCCCATTATTTCTCCCAGTTGTTTACTGGATCTGGTTATTGCCCTCAGTTTCTACATCGGAAGTCTCACTCCTGATAAATCATGACCTACTTAACTGACATAATTATGGGCAGTATTATAGGAAGCTGATTCAAGAGGAATAAAGCACACAGTCATTCCTATTGCTCTTTTTTAAACTCACTGTAGCTTCATTAAACTCATAGTACTGACCATTGTAGAGAGTAAAGAAGTAAGAAGGAAAGTGATTTTACTGTTGAGAAATAGCTTCCTTAGAGCTAGCAACTACTTAAACCTCAAACAACTATAAGCTCACAGCAGGTCCAGGGCATTTCAACGTGTAGCTATGTTTTAATTTCCTTAAACCACAGGACATGAGTCACAGTTCCAGTAGTGTCTAGAGTGAGATATTCTGTGCTGATAATGATGCAAAGTTTTATATCCTGCAGTTTCCAAATGCGTGGTATGCCAAAAGAATTTCACAGAATCGAGAAGACGATGTCCCTTTGCTTGTATGGGGTTAACACCTTCAAAGGCAGTAGTTTAGCTGTCATTTTGGCGCTTAAATGAATGCACTCTTTTCTTTCTGAATAAGAAGATTATCTTGAACACCAGTGATCCCCAAAACCATTTCTCTTCTTCCTCCTACCTTTGTAATTTTCTTCCAATTTCCTCTCACCAATCTAATGACGATTCTAGTTGATCAAGACATGATGTGCCACCGTTTAAATCTCTTACACACTGAGCTTTTCCCATGGTGATAAATACTCTTTCCAAAGAGCATCCAAGCACGCTCCCCAGTCTATTTCCCACTGCATCGCACGGCTACCTGCATAATCCCTAAAGAAGATTCTCTATTTGCACAGAACACTTAAGCTAATTCTACTAAAACTTTTAAATCAGTATCTATATCTAGAAATTTATTTGAATCTCATTATTGTAGTTCTTCTAATTATTGTTTTAGTGTTCCAGTTGAGCAACCAACTCGCAGGATAAATGGTAAAACGCACAGGATGAGAAAAAGCAAGGAACTCAAGAAACTTTTCCAGAAGTTCACAATCCTGCTTAAGTGGTCATCTCTGTTCAAATTCCTCTCATTTATCCACATCCTGCCCTGCCAACAGTTAACAGTTAACTGGCTAGAAAATGAAAATTGTATTAAACTACAGCCATGAAAAGCAAAAAGAAGCAAGCAGCTGTTGAAGACTATTCAAACTCAGAGACAGGCAAAACTGTATTTTGATGGCTAGAAATAAACCATGGTGTTATATACTGTTGAGCTTAATCACTGACATCTCTGAATAATACCACAACTTTTCTCAATTATTCAGTGGAGAAAGAGAAAATTTCCAGAAGAGGATAACCAGCAATTTGCAATTAATAAAAAAAGTTAATTGTTTTTTCTTTCCACCCAAGCACCACACCAAGCATTCTCTAACACAGCTTCCTTGAGGCCTGCAATCAGCCCACAAAGTCAGCAGCTAAAGCCAGTACATTTATCTTCTATTTGACTGCATTGTTTTACAGTATCACTACCGCATTCGGTTCTGGTCAGTAGTATTTTCAACCATTCTATGCTGGCAAATCACTAAGAATCTGCTTTACAGAATGTAAAAATCTATGTCCCATCTACTTCAAGATGTTTAAGGTGCTTCTGCTGTTCGTTGCATTCTTCAAATTCACTGGCAGATTGTTAAACTAAATCTTCCAGTTTGTTTCTTAACAAAAGCACTTGATGCCTTTAAGCTTCTCCAGCCCTTTCACTTTCCTGTATTGATTTTAATTTCCTTTCTTTATGCTTCACCCGACTGGAATGTAAGGGAGGAACAATTATTCGATCGGTTTTGTTCATGCACAGAATAACAAATATAATTATCTGAAAGGCAGCAATATGTATTAATTTTGAACTACACATAGCCTGTAAAACAGAACGTACGTAAAATTTGCATTGCTTATTTTATAGAACTCTATTTGTTCAGGTTTGCTGGACCTGGGAATTCTACACTTTTTGTCCTTTACAGATAATATTTCCATAATGCTTCAGCAGCAGATGATACCAATACATTATAAAAACAAGACAGACAATTTATAGGCCTACCATTACTTGTAAACTTACCTGCTTTTACGTCCTGGTTGAATCTACAGTATTTTGAGTGCTCAAGCAGGGGGAGACATTGCTCAATAGGCGTCCAGACGTATGTCTCTGGACACAACAAGTCAGAGGGCCTGTACTGCCCCTAGAAAGGAGAAAAGAAAGAAAAAAAAGAGTAGTCATATCAGTCATATGAGTTGTACAAGAACGCTCCGGCTACAACTTTCCAGACTTTCTATGAACAAGGCATAGTTTTAATCTAATCTACACCAAATGAGTCAGAAACAGCTTCACTGAAATCACAGGCTTACTTCTTTAGTAATTTCAGTACTATCTCCGGAATACAAACTTAACCTTGGCATTTGAAGAAAACGTAAAATTAACATAACACATTTTTACAATAACCAAGATGAACTAGAAAAGTTTTGGCTTCGCTTACTGAAACTCTGTATTCAAGTTATCCTCTAGAATGATGCTGAGCTGTAGCCAACACTAAAAAGCTCAGCACCTCCAAAAGCAGCTCATCTCAAGTGTTGGTAACTCTAGCAAATAATGGAGACCAAAATAAAAATATCTAATAGAAAAAAACCCCACTTAACAGTAAGCAGGATGCTATTTTTATTGCATTAGTGATGGAGTATTTTGCTCATTGCTACTTAAACAGTAACATTTACTTTTTAATTCATGGAGTTTTTCCTAGAATAGCTTAAAGGTAATGATTAGTGAAATTCTACCATTTTTGTTGATTTATTAAAGAGATATTCTTTGCAGACATTCCCAGAAACTAACCAGCCATAATTATTTTCCCTTCAGCTACACAGAAAATCACAACCTCAGCAATAACAACCTCTTCTAATCAGATTGTAATTTGATTTAAAATAAGATTATTCATCAGCCTGTAACTTAAGTCAAAAATCTATTTTTGAGCCATTATTCATTTAATCCATATCCTCTCAACCTTCAGAGCCATATGGTGGCAACATCAAATTAATTTTTAAACTGAAAATTCATTACACCTGTTGGCTTGAAAAACAGACATACAGTAAACAGAATGGAAAAGTTTAAGGGTCTCAATTATACAGGTCTTGAAGCAACACTTAAAAAAGACTGGGCGTTGTAAGAAGTCACACTGCAGCTGATGCAGTCAAAGAGTTCTTCATACCAATTACTTTAAATAGGTAACGAAGATGATCATCTTGATACGAAGTTGATTTTTTCCCCCAACATCTACTATGAAAAAAGGCAAACTGGCCTTGAATGAAGCTGACCAACGTTTAGGAAGGAACACACATAATTACTGTGACTACAGTCTGGTGATAAAGACGTATTTTTAAAAAGTCACATTCACAAGCTCTGCTTTTCTTTTAGACACACCCTGCAGCAACACCCAATTTTGGAGAATCAGAAGAACAATTTTTTGAATGTTTGCAGAGATTCCCAACTCTTTTTACTTTCTTACTGGTCGACGCTTCACAATATTTACAGTAGAATTAACTTTTTTATCATGTATTTCCCAACAACTGTAAATTGTTGAGTAAAAAATACAAAAATTACCTTTGATAAAAACAAAGTCATAACTGTCCACATGAAAAAAAAAAACAACAAACCCACAACCAAGCTTCATGCTGAACCTTGTCAAATACCTGATGTATCTTTCTGAAATGAGTCTGTATGACTCTGATTTTCTCATTTGAAAAACATTCAGGATTGACATGTAACTACCATTGTTGGCTTTTTTGTGTGTGTTTTTTTTTCTTTTTTAAATTAAATGCAAATTTTTATATTAAATTAAAACAATATTCCTCCAATTCCATGCAGAAGCTTAAATCTCAAGGCCTTAGAAAAATCCTCTAGAGCCAGAGAATGGAAATGACATTATTAAATAAACCACTTTGAAATGTTACGCTATCTAAACAGAAATAGTTGAAAGGTACGTGAAGGTAATGCTTAAAGAACACTTTCAGTCACCACTACCAAGAGAAAACAATGTAAGGACTTGGGGAAAAAAATATGCCTTTTCAGTCAGATTTAAAAAAAAAAAAAAAGAACAAAACAAAACAACCCAAGAACATAATTACTTGTTGATTCAAATGCATTTTCTCAACTGGCTAAGAAGGCAGAAGTAGCCAAGTAACCGTATTTCAGAGCTGTCGCTTAAGCACAAAAAATACAAGGTGGCAATTTAGTCTTTCCTAGGAGCATGGGCATACTCACAGCTGTAAGTAAAGACTGCTCAGCCACCTACACTTTTCCCAGAAGATACTGCCCCTATAGCTTGAAATATGTCACACTTGTGAATCCCACACGTGGAAATGGTATCACTACGCAGACCTATTCTAAATCTCTCAGTTACTGGTATAATGTCATATTCTGTCATAAAACGGTATGTATAAAATTAACTGCATTGCAGCATTACTAACAAAATAGAGTTTCTTTACTACTGAGCAAAACAGTAATGGGAAAAATTGATTATCCAATCCATCACTGTAGATTCAGTATTTATTTTGGGCATCAAAATACCCTAACTGGGGAGAGAAAAAGGAAGAAATAGTTCTGAGGTGACATCCTTTAGATGTTTTCTTCCCCCAAAATTTAGAATCTTGTTAATAAACTTCCTTGAAGATATGTGAGGCTGAGGTGACGACGCATCACTGACCAGTGACACACAATGTATTCAGAGGTAAAAATTAAACAAGCCATTGATGCTTTACAATATCCTCCCTTTCTAAAAGTATTTCCAAACATACTAGAAGAAGATATTTCTCCCGTAAAGGCATTTTATTTACACTACCGGTTAAACTCACATCCCATGCCTCATTCTGGGGAGGAAGTGGGAACACAGAGACATACCAAGCGGAGTTTTCCAAGGAACAGCACTGGCACTGTGGCTATATTGACAGAATTAAAAAGGGAATCCACAGAATTTTTTAAAGCAAATGCAATAATTTCTCAGGGCTTTTGCCCGCCCCTCCCCTTTACTCTCAATGTACTTACTTTCTTAAAAATGTTTAAAACCTCAATATGAAAATAAACAACTACGAATCCACCTCACTTCCCCCCCCCCTCCTTATTCCTGGACTGTGAAAAAATCTGAACCCGAGAACCCAGCCACATTCTGCCTCATGTACAGGAGCACCTGTACTTCAAGAAAAATATTTAAATGTCATTATTCACTCTGAAATAATTACATCATCTAAAAAAATTGCCTCTAAGCATACTATTTATATTCCTCCTTATTCTTAATATTGCTGATTTGCAGTATACACTCAACATAAATCCCAAATAGAAAGGGGATCTCCTGAAGGGAACTGCTGCAGAGCTATTTATCACAGTAGAAGAACTTAATCAGATTTGCAAAGCCATTTTTGAAAATCATTTCTGTTGGGCTTCAGATTAAATTAGCATACATTTCAGAAGTAACTCTGTCTATAGTAAAATTCCACAACTGAAAACATTTTGCATTCTTTTATCTCATAATATAAAAGCTCTTGCACAGTAGCACTGTTTATGCTGTCCAGATCATCTTGGGAATACTTGGGAATACTACAAGACTTTCAATAAAAAGTATCATCTTACAGACCATCCCTAAGCACTTCTCTTATGTTTCAGCTTCTTAAATCAAATACCACCTGCTGATGAAAAGCATTCTGTCAGTATACAACAACTGCACATATTTCTGTCTGTGCATCTACAATTTGTCGAGAAATATCCAACAAGATGTAAAATCTGGTATTTTGAAATGTTTTTGGAAACAAAAAAAAATTAAATTTGCCTAAAACTTCATTATTTCTGATGCTGTTTAATATTTTCATGGACATCCAGAAACACCCTTCTTGAGACAGAATGTTAATGCATTTTGAGTTGTTGTAACCTAACAGCCACTGCAGGTCATACCAGATGCCCATGCATGGCATACTCAAATATCCCACCTCTGACAGCTGTCAATACAAAATACTGAGCGAAAACTAAAACAAACAGTATAAGCATATAGTGTTACTCTGCAATACTCTCTCGACCTCCAACAGTTTGCAATATATATCCTTCCACAACCAGATAACTTCAGTAATAACACATTTTGCTATTCAATAATCCTAAACAACTGCTTTGATTTACTTCTTTCTGCAAACTGCAGTTCTGTTTGATGACCATTCCTACCTCTATTACAGAAATGCAGTGAACAATCGTTGCCTTACCACCATGCCGCTCGTGATTTTACAGACAAATACGGTACCTCCATCAGTCTGAAGGGACTTAAATTCTTTACTGCATCCTCTTACATAAGGTATTCTATACCTCTAACAGTCCTAGGCAATCTGTCCTCTTTCCAATTTTGCTTTCTGTCCTTTGAAACAGGGGGGAAAAGGCCACAGAGGGAAAACATTCAAACTGCATTGGTCAAAGAGCAGGAGAGCACAAGGTATAATAAAGATATACAGAAAATCAGAAGAAAAAATTGCATCTTTATAAATAATTGACTAATCTATCAAATGGTTTGAATAAAAAGCAATACTAAAAATTAGCATAGCTAAGAAATTCCTGAGTATGTGGTTTCTTCTACCAAGTCAACTTATTGCAATATAAATGTGACTGTTTAATACAAAATACCCCCAAGACGTTTTATTTTCACTACTGTTTGAGGCATTTTTCCTCCTATATAATAAAAAAGAAAGACCCTTTAAGGTGCTTTCCCTTATGCTATTAGACATGCTGCATTTTAATTGGAAGCTTCTGGAAATAAATTGTACAGTGAGGCTGCCAAGTCTAAATTAATATTTCACACCATGATGTTTTTTGTTCTACAGTTTCCAAATTAGAATCAACCAAAACTTCTCTGAACTTTTGTTCCACAGGAAGGGCAAAGGTTTTAATGAGACTTTAGTCTGGAGATTACTTTTTAAATATTTTGTAAAATCTGCAGGATTTGGTAAGCATTTGAGATGAAAAACACCAGCAGAGTTTGTTTTTGTAGTCTAAGTAAAATCTAAAATGTAAAACTACCAAGAAAGACAATAGTCTCAGAAACGAAGAAGGTCAAGCACCAGTAGCACTGAAAAAACAAAATAGGAAGGTTAAACACACATTTAATTCTTCTATCAGGTAGAGTTTACATCTGTATTCTATTTTTTCACAATAAATCCATTGATC